GGTTTCCAAGCCAGCCTAGCATAGTCTATTTCATAATTAATATGATCCATATCGAATTTGAAACGAATACAAGCTTAAACCATGTTATTTTACTATCGGCAGTGAAATACAGGAGGAAAACAAACTGAAGAGAAGTTAGTGTCCACTTTGGGCCGCGCCATAGCTCAAGCGGTTAGTCGCTGGCTCCCCACCGCGGCGGTCCGGGTCAAGTGGGATTTGTGGTGGACAAAGTGGCGCTGGGGCAGGTTTTCTCAGAATACTTCGGTTTCCCCTGCCAATCTTCATTCCACCAATTGCTCTACAGTCACCCTCACCTATCATCTGGGGCTGGTACAATAGGCCAGAAGTGGCCGCAGTACAAGAAACTTAGTCCCACCCCACTAACAATAAAAAAAATAATGTTCTCTATTATTAACGTGTATTTCTTCGTAATTAGATATGACGTTCTTGTGTCTCAGAACTCTCCGCGGGTTGCGTGGGCACCCTCCGCCATAGCAAGTAGTTCCCAGTGGCGACGGCTCCTGCGTACATCTGAACTGCTATTAAGGTAAGGAACAGTTTATTCATTTGTTTAGAGGTTCATAACTCAGAGACGGCCTGCATAGATGAATGTTTTCATCGTTTAAGGCCAGTAGTAACTACATGTACCATCTGCTTTAACTTTAGGTACCTCATCATTTCGCGTACAGTTTTAATTTCTTTTTATTATCAGAGCAGACGATCAGAAAATCTATGGCCATACTGTGAAGGCGACTTTGAACTCAGTCCGTATCTTTGATTATCTAATAACAATGTCTGTACATATTGTTACTTGTACACCCATTGCAAGGCAACGTGTTGTTAAACAAGTTCCCACGAAAACAGATTCTTGGTACATATTCCGTTGATAGATCAAGCAACAATAGAGGAAGCTGTGTTTTCTGTGTCACAACAGTGGATAGTGATCACATGACATGTGTTTTCTTGAGATCCGACCGTCGCGCCAATAGGCTGGTTGGATAGCGATCACGTGATGAGTTTACTTAGGTCCATGTCCGTTCCTCGGCTACATAAGTAAAGCAGTTACATGTTACGAGTAATAGCGGCAGAAGCACGCGAACAAGCAAGCAAGGAGATAGCCACTGGAAGTTCGTAGTTGAAGTAGAATTATAAGTCGGTCTGTGAAGACTTAACATGTGATTAGAAAATTTTTTTGTGTGTAATATTTGGAGTGTGTGTTTCATTGAGACTGTTAGAGTTCCTATGCTAAAAATCCGTGTGTACTAGTGCAGATATATCTAGAAGATTAGTGTGAGTGATTGAAATTGCGTAAATCAGTAACATTGTAATAATTGTTTGTAGTTATGCTACAAGCCAGAAGCATGTTTTTTTCTGTGCATAATTTTTGGTGACAAAATGCGAATTATTTGCAGCTTTTATTTATTTTTGTCTTTTTCGTCGTAATTTTCTGATTCCTGTGTTTTCTTTATGTTTACGGTCTCTCTTCCAGGCCTTCCTCAATTGGGTCTGGATTGTAGTGTAGGTGCGCTGATATAATTCCGATACACTCAACACTATTCTTGGCGTTTACAGTCTTATCTAAGTGTGTTTGTTTTGCGTTTCAGTATATTTCGCATTTGTTGTATTCTTAAGTACTGTAGGATTATTTTAATTGAAATTGTGAAAGACGGGGCTATCATAGAGGGTGAATTGGGCAGGGCATGTAGAACGAATGGGGGAGAAAAGGAATACATATAGGATATTTGTGGGATAGTCTGAAGGAAAGAGACCACTGGGAAGACCAAGAGGTATGTGAGTGGACAATATTGAAATGGATCTTAGAGAGATAGGATGGTATCATATGGACTGGATTTATATGGCTCAGGATAGGGACCAGTGGAGGGCTCTTGTGAACACGGTAATGCACCTTCGGGTTCCATAAAATGCTGGGAATTCTTGAGTAGCTGCAGAATTGGCGGCTCCTCGAGAAGAGTTTACTTCCATGAGGGCGTAGGGTTCCCATAGCCTCCAGTCTTTGTTTGTAGTAGTTTTTATCAAAATATAGTTTGATATATTGCAGTATTTATTATATCCATCACTTCTTTATTAATTGTGACAGGGCCCTTAGGTTTGTGCCCCTGTTTTTTATTGTGGTTGTGACTTGGCGTGCTGGTATATTGGTGCACACAATTGATGCATCAAAGGAGCATATTTTTATGTTTTTATTGACATCCATATTTTCTAGATCTATGCTGAAACATAGCGCATTCTTTGGGTTGTATGTATAGGGTAGATGGATATTTTGTTTTATTATTTGTGGTATGTGGCTGGGTAATTTGTATTCAGGGACGTTGCGCCTGTGAACTATGCGTCGTATTAATATATTTTTTTTATGAGATTCTATTGCTGCATGTAAATTAGATAATTTTGTGTCAGTGGCGGATTTATGTTCCGCCGAAGAACAGGGTGTTGAGGATAATATTTTGACCCTAAAGAGATGAAGTGACAGGAAGTTGGAGAAAACTGCATAATGAGGAGCTTCATAACTTGTACTCTTCTCCAAGTATAATTAGAATGATCAAGTCAAGGAGGATGAGGTGGGCAGGACATGTAGCAAGAATGGAGGAGAAAAAGAATGCATGTAGAATATTGCTGGGAAAGCCAGAAGGAAAGGGACCACTGGGAAGACCAAGGCGTAGGTTGGTGGACAATATTAAAATGGATCTCAGAGAGATAGGATGGGGGTGGTATGAATTGGATTGATATGGCTCAGGATAGGGACCAGTAGAGGGCTCTTGTTNGAAAGGGACCACTGGGAAGACCAAGGCGTAGGTTGGTGGACAATATAGAAATGGATCTCAGAGAGATAGGATCGGATGGTATGGATTGGATTGATGTGTCTCAGGATAGGGAGCAGTGGAGGGCTCTTGTTAACACGGTAATGAATATTCGGGTTCCATAAAATGTTGGGAAATTCTTGACTAGCTGCAGATTTGGCGGCTCCTCAAGAAGGGCTCAGCTCCAGGAGGTGTAGGTAATAATAGTTAAGCTGACACTAAATTCAAGACCGACTGATGTTGGCCAATATAAAGGTAAAGTTGTCCCTGTGCTTAAATAGTTAAGCACGACACCATGAAGGCGTATGGGGGGTGGATGTTTCGATTCACATTTTCTTGACCTCGGCAGTAATTGGAGGTGAGTGATCAGCTTCACGCCCTGGTTGTTTCACCCTCTCCCCGAGATATAAATTCCCAAATACCTAGTGCAGGGTGGGTGGACTTCTGAGTCGATCTGGACGCTGTGGAGAAGAGAAAGAGTCTTTCCCCTGCCAGGAATCAAAACCCGCTCGTCAAACACGTAACCCATCGCTATGGTGCCTGAACCGTCACAGATCATATCGCTTCTAAAATAAAAATTCAAATAAAATACCAAAACAATAGATGAGATTTGATAATGAATTGCGAGAAATCCGAAGTTTCATGGACGCTCGCCACTAAAAGCCAACTCCGAAACTGTTTAGATCCAATTCATATATCTGCAATTTAATATTGTCCTCCTCTGTGATCCTGTCTCTGCCAAAATGCTTCAATTTGTCCAGTTGAAATCTTGTAAAGCTTTTCCATTTTGTTCTCTCGTCCCGTCTTCTGTCACCGAATTGAAGTGGCTTTCAAATGGGTCTTGCTGGCCCATTTTACCTCTACGTTTGCGTACGGAAGGGCCCAAACTAATGATCTTAGAAGTGAGAACTGGATTACAGAAATGATAGAGTAAGAGGATTTGTCTTATTAATTTCTTAAACCTCAAACGAGGTTCTTCAAATAAAATTTTAGCTTTTATATACAGCCGTCCAAATAATTACACTTCTTTTGACGTTAGAACCATATTATTAAAGAAATTAATATTGCAGTTTTAGAAATTAACCACATTTATTTGTCTATTTGCTCTCAAACGTTTTTCTCTCCCTCAATTTTACTAAAATTTGATCTCCTTTACTTAAAGGAACATCACCACAAGTCATTCAAACTCATCTTCTTAGACGCCTTTTGTTCATCAAAAATACAATCTTCAAAAAATTTAAAATAAAAAATTCGTCAATAGACGTTTTGCAGAACAAAATATTTAATGTGTGTATATAGCACTACTAAATTTTTATGATTTATTGGCTTTAATAAACAACGGCAAAGAAATTGTAGGGCACCCGCACACCAACTGCGTCAAGACAAGAATCAAGACATGAAACAAAAACTCAGTCTTGCTTCATTCGTCAGCATCATGACTCAGACCGTTGTGCGGCGGTTTTCATAATCTCATTCGTTTGAACTGTGCGTCTTTCTTTGCGTCACGTCGCAGATATCGTGTCTTGACTGTTACATATCTTGACGCATGCCGGTGTGCGGCCTACCGTAGGAATATATCCTTATAAAGCAAGCGAATTAAATAAACCTTAATGAAAATGAGTGTCACAAACACACGAGGGTTAGTATTTGAACAACACAGTTCAGTAACACAAAGGATTCACTTCATGCTGTAGCACTCAGAATATCTGCACTTAATTATTCATTCGGCAGGGCATAAATTTCCGCCAGTATAATTATAAAAAGTTTATTCATGTTTTCTTCCTGAGTCAGCCGCCACAAACCATGCTAATAATTCTTTAAAACACCGCCACTCGATTATTTCTTTCCGATCCCTTCACGTTCACTGTGTAGCAGGAAGTTTGGTGTCGAGACAGACCTGGGCCGACTACCGTTGTGTCTTGTATTGCTTTGCACCTCACTTTGGCTTCCCTGAGACGTCCGCTGGATGCCTAAGCAGTTACACCTGATAAGACGGCTCGCGCTCGTCTATCCACGTATTGGCTGTGGAAAAAGCAATAGAATTATTAGAAATGTACAGAAATATTATCCAGAAAATGTGTGAGTAGGAGAGGTGATGCAGTTCATATCGTCAACAGCAGTACCACAAACAAAAGCACTTATTGTACGGAGGAACCAACGAGGACGGTCATGAAATGCTTGTTATACCGCTTGCATGGTAACAGATGTTTGATGCAGTGATGTTACCAGTTTATAATTCAAGGGGAAGAGAAAAATCTGCTGAAGTTTGGGTGGTTAAGTTGGCTCACTTTCTTTCGTTTGTGATACCTGGAACTATTCGTATGTATTTCTAGGACATTGAATGGGGAGTTTCATAACTTGTACTCTTCTCCAAGTATAATTAGAATGATAAAGTCAAGAAGCATGAGATGGACAGGGTATGTAGCACGAATGGGGGAGAAGACGAATACATGAAGGATATTGGTAGAATAAAAGGAAAGAGACCACTGGGAAGACCAAGGCGTAGGTGGGTTGACAATATTAAAATTGATTTTAGAGAGATAGGATGGGATGGTATGGACTGGTTTGGTTTGGCTCAGGATAGGGACCAGTGGAGGACTCCTGTGAACAAGGTAATGAACCTTCGGGTTCCATAAAATGCTGGGAAATTCTTGAGTAGCTGCAGATTTGGCTTCTCCTTAAGAAGGTCTCAGTTCCATGGGTAAGGGCATTGAAGCACAGGACACTGCAATAGTTGGACATGTAACTCTATTGAAAAGACACAAAATGCAGACAGAAATTATTGCATAACTGTCATATTAAAAGAGACATTTTACCTTAGGAGTATAGGTTTTTAGGTAGTTCAAGATCGTACCAATGTGAACTTTGATATTATCCGCGTTTAACCTTTGGTTGAGATTGCCAGAAAGTTAGGTTGTCATCGTCAAGTACGTGTTCCTGAAGATCATATGATTTAGATATAGATGAGAATTGCTTATGTGTGAATGAATTATAAAATATTTTTCCCCATTGTGTTGCACGAATGGTCAAAATATTTTAATGAGCATGCAGTAACACTTCTAGTGTCAGCCTCAGAGGATATTAGATAATTCTGAGTCTCCATAATTTAAATTATTCTGGAATCAAATATTAATTATTTCCACTACTTGTAATTTTCACATTTTAAATTATATAATAGTATTGTATGACGAAATTAACTGGCATCACATATCAGATGACTGATCATTTTCGTGGAAATGAAGTAATTTTTACTACCGATCTAGGGTGTGGGCAATATAAGACTTAAATGCATATTGTTTGTTCATATAATTGAAAATACGGAATATAAACACTCACCTTTGTAATATGTTTTCTTTTTCATACTCGGACAGTTCTTGCCCTGTAAAGACAATTTAAATGTGAATNGATCTACCGGTTAATGTCGCTTAGGGAAATTATCACTGTCTCTTATAAAAACCATGGGAAACACACAGATACACTCTGTGGGCAGAATGCAGAGTTTTGGTATGTTAAAGCAGGTGGTAGATATAATAACCACTAGACCTTAAAGAGTTAATACCGTGTTGAACTGATTAAAAATTACAAAGAAAATGAGATTATGGTAAGCAGTATTAAATTCGGTTAAGGAAGCGTTAATTTCACAGCTCTCATGTAACTGGAGTTGCCTTATCACCGTTAAAACTCACGGGATGTTTGGATCTGTCGTGTGGTGAAGTCTCTTTAGTAGGGGGAGGAGAATGTTAGGGGTGGGGAGAGAGTGGGTAGCCGACTAATGGAAGCAGATTACCCCACCAAATATACTATCCTATTTGTTACGCCGGGATACACTTTTCGATGATAAGGTGGTTTTTTTGAATAAAGAGATAATGGAAAAGCCCGCTGGGCCATGCTGAATCTACATCCTCCCTTTCTCGTCATCCTACGGGTTTAGCCGTGCTGGAGCCCGCAGCGCTGGGCTGTGGGCACCGCCTGAATTAATTTGGTAGCGAGAACGTAATATCAACGCACAGTGTTTGGAAACGAAAGGAGATCTTCAGCCTAGAGCACCATGGCTTCTTCTGCTTGCTCAGTTGCTGGTTTCATACATGTGAGGGGTTTCTGTACAGTTACCATGTCACATATATATATATATACACGGTAGTGTAGTTGGTAGAGGCACTATGCTACAAGCCGGATGTCGAGGGTTCGATTCCTGATGGGGTCATTCATTTAGCAAGTGACCTAATCCTTCCAGCGCCGATCACGGTAGCCGAGCGCTCTAAGGCATGGACAGTTTTCGCTCGCTCGGAAGCCGGGATCGTGGGTTCGGATCTGTTTCCTGTGAGGTACGAACTGAATTCTTATATATTATTCTTATACACTGCCGGTCACAGTAGCCGAGCGGTCTAAGGCATGTACTGTCTTCGCTCGCTCGGAACCCGGGACCGTGGGTTCGGATCTGTTTCCTGTGAGGTACGAACTGAATTCTTATATATTATTCTTATACAGTGCCGGTCACGGTAGCCGAGCGGTTAAGGCATGTACTGTCTTCGCTCGATCGGAAGCCAGGATCATGGGTTCGAATCCCACAGAAAGCATGGATGTTTTATAAATCGATATGTTTATTGTGTTTCTGTGTTGTCCTGTGTTTAGGTAGAGGCCTTGCGAAGAGCTGATCACCCGTCCAAGGAGCCCTACAGTCTGTAAAAATTATAAATAAAACTGAGAAAAAGCTCTATGCTCCAAAGTGGGAGCAAGAGGAAGGAATTGGACCCTTCCAGCCCCACTATGGCCCTGGGGTCGACTCAGCCTATAACAGAAATGAGCACTAGAAATCTTCCTGGGCTGTAATGGGCTGCCGGTGCATAACTGACACTCTCACCACCATCTCTGAGCCGACTGTCTAGAAAATATGTGAGCCTCGACGTCTCACAACCCTATGGGCTTTCAGGACCTCTTACAGGGATACCTTTGTCTTTATATACGTATATGCGCATTATATGTGAGTTATATGTGAATATATTCAAGATATGGTGAATGCTGTGTGCTGTTGGTGGGTTGGGGTGAGGATTTAACATCTCATTGAACTATATTGCAAACGCTTGAAATGCAAAATCAACTTGGAGTAATCACATGATACTGCATTGGATGTGTTTGGAGGACTAAGACGATATTTTTGGAGAACAAATCGGTCCGCTTCTAAAGCTTTTTGATTCAAGTCTCGGTCACGTTAAATGTTATTAAAAAAATCATGAGAATTACCGGCTTCATACAGTGCTTTTGAATTTACAGATTTTTCACAATTTGTTCGCAATTTCATGCGTGTCGTCGGTCATATATCCTGTCTGCTCATTTCTACATGCGTGGCAACATTTGACCGCCTCTGTGGTCTGGTGGTCAGGGTTTCCGGCTACAGATCCAGATGTCCCGGGTTTGATTCCCGGCGTTACCAGATTTTCTGAGAAGTGGGTCTGGAACGTGGTCCACTCATTCTCATGTGTATAACTGAAGAGCTATTTCTAGAAAGCCGAGATTAACGGCCGTGGAGTTCCGTTGCGCCGACCACGTAACACCCTCTATCCACTAAAGTTGGCACTAACTTCGCCGATTAGTGGCGGTCGCTCGGTCGATATAGTTCGCTTGAGGACTACATGCCAAGGAGTTTTTATGGTAACATTTGAGGTTCTCAAAACAATGTTTATAACGCCATGTAGTCAGTTCAAATCAACCGACGCTTTTTCTTCGACCATGAAGATAGTGGCGACATGTTCCTCCGAAACGTCGATTGACTTTCAACGGACCGAATGGATTTACTTCCCAGAAGACAGAATTGTTCTCCACATCTGCTCCTCCCTCTGTGTATTGATCTGATCAGCAACGGATAGGTGCGTCTTATCTTTATCAACTTCCACTTAGATTGTCTGTATTTACTTCTTTCTTTTATGTATAGGCAACTAAATTTCTTATATCAGCCACAAATTTTCCTTTTCTCTCTCCTAGTGGTCCCGTGCTCATTTATCGTTACCATAATTATCCCGAGGTGCAACTCCCTGCATTTAAATGTATATATATATATA